CACCTGAGGTGAGCTCTGGCAGTTCCTGAGAAACATCTGCCATTTGCTGACCATATCCAAAAAGCTGAGGAGGCCTCCTTCAGGAACAACCATCTTCCTGCCAAAGGGATTTTCCACACCCCAGGATTCAAGCAGGCACCAGAAGACAGCCAGATGGGTAGATGCCATCATAAAAGCAAAACCAACAAAAGCCAAAGTAATATGGCATCTCCAGAAACCAGTTAGACAGGAGCAAGTAGCCCTGGACACCCTATCATAAATGAAATTCAAGAAGATGACTTTAAATTTATTATTATGAAGAGAATAATGGAAGAAGCAAATAAAATGCATAAAGAAATGAGGAAGATAAAGTCAAACAGATTATGGCCATTCGTAAAGAAATACAGGAAGATGCAGCCAAACAGTTTGTGGCCTTCAGAGAGGAAATAAAAGAAACGAAAGAACTAAAAGAAACAGAGGAATATTCAAACAAACCAATGAAGAAATCAAAGAAAAAGCAGGAAAATATAGTCAGACAGGTGAAGGAATCAACAAAATGGTTGGAAAAAACTAAAGAAAACACAAACAAAAAATTATGGTGAGGAAGAACTTAGGAAAGGAAACAGAGGTAAGCATAATCAATAAACTTTACAAGAGATGGAAAAAAGAATCTCAGGTGTGGAAGATACAATGGAAAATTGATTTATCCATCAAAGAAAATGTTAAATCTAAAAAATTCCTGACACAAACCATCCAAGAAATCCAAGACAACATGAAAAGACAAAACCTAAGAATAATAGGAATAGAGGAAAAAGAAGATTCCTGTCTCCAAGGCCCAGAAAATATTTTCAACAAAATCATAGAAGAAAAATTTCCCCTAAGGAAATAGAAGCTGTCATCAAATGTCTCCCATAAAAAAAAAAAAAAAAAAAAGCGGAGGCACAGAAATTCTACCAGACCTTCAAGGAAGACTATTCCACAAAATAGAAACAGAAGGAACATGACCAGCTGCATTCTATGAGGCCACAGTCACCTTGATATCTAAACCTCACAAAGACAAAACAAAGAAAGAGGATTTCAGGCCAATCTCCCTTATGAACATTGATGCAAAAATACTCAACAAAATACTCTCAAACTGAATCCACCAATACATCAAAGATATCATCCACTATGACCAAGTAGGCTTGATCCCAGGTATGCACAGGTGGTTAAATATACCGAAACCCATCAATGTAATCCACAGTATAACAAACTGAAAGAAAAAAACAAAACAAAACAGATGATAATCTCCTTGGATGCTGAAAAAGCATTTGATAAAATCAAACACTAGTTTATGTTTAAAGTCCTGGAGAGATCAGGGATACAAAGCACTTAGCTAAACATGGTAAAGGCAATAATACAGCAAGTGTATAGCCAACATCAATCTAACCAGAGAGAAACTAAAATCAATCCCACTGAAATCAGGGACAAGCCAAGGCTGCCACTCTCTCCATATCTCTTCAACATAGTTCTTGAAGTCCTTACTAGAATATAAGTCAATTAAAGGAGATCAAAGGTATTCAAATCAGAAAGGAAGAAGTCAAAGTATCACTATTTGCAGATGATATGATAATATAAAAGAGTGAGCTCAAATATTCTACCATGGAACTCCTACAGCTGATAAACACCTTCAGCAAAGTGGCTGGATACAAAATTAACTAAAAAAAAAAAATGAATAGCCTTCCTGTTTACGAAAGACAATGGGGATGAGAAAGGGTGTTGTGAAGGGAGACAACACCCTTCACAACAGCCACAAAGGACATAAAGTACCTTGGTGTAACTCTAACCAAGCAAGTCAAAGACTTGCATGAATAAAACTTCAAGTCTCTGAATAAAGAAATAAAAAAAGATATCAGAAGATGGAAATATCTTCCATGCTCCTGGTTTGGCAGGATTAACATAGTAAAAATGGCCATCTTACCAAAAGCATTCTACAGATTAAATGAAATTACCATAAAATTACCAATACAATTCTTCACAGACCTTGAAAGAAAAATTCTCAACTTCATATGGAATAACAAGAAACCCGGAATTGCTAAAACAATTCTCTACAATAAAAAATCTTCTGGAGGTATCTCCATCCCTGATCTCAAGCTGTACTATAGAGCAATAGTAATAAAAACTGCATGGCACTGGCATAGAAACAGGCTGGTGGATCAATGGAATCAACTAGAAGTCCCAGAAATAAACTCATATAATTACGGACACCTGATTTTTTACAAAGATGCCAAAACCACACTACGGGAAAAAAGAGAGCATCTTCAACATATGGTGTTGGTCTAACTGGATGTCTACATGTAGAAAAATGCAAATAGATCCATACTTATCACCCTGGACAAAACTAAAGTCCAAGTGGATCTCAACATAAAACCAGACACACTAAACTTGTTAGAAGAAAAAAATGGGGAAGAGCCTTGAATCACTGGCAGCGGAGACAACATCCTGAATAGAACATCAACAGCACAGACTCTAAGATCAACAATCAATAAATGGGACCTCATGAAACGTAAAATCTTCTGTAACACAAAGGACCTGTCTGCGGAATAAAACGCCAGGCTACAGACTGGGAAAGGATCTTTACCAACCCTATATCTGAAAGAGGGCTAATACTCAGAATATATAAATAATTCAAGAAATTAAAAAGCAACAAACCAAGTAATCCAATTAAAAAAATGGATACAAATTTACATCCCAAGCAGCACTGAAGTATTATTATCCTTTCTCCACATCCTGTCCAGCATGTATTATCACTTGAGTTTTTGATCTTGGCCATTCTGATAGCTATAAGGTGAAATCTCAGGGTCATTTTGATTTGCATTTCCCTGATGACTAAGGAAGTTGAACATTTCTTTAAGTGTTTCTCTGCCATTCAATATTCCTCTACAGAGAAGTCTTGTACAACCACTTTGGAAACCAATCTGGTGCTTTCTCAGACATTTAAGAATAGTTCTTCCTCCAAAATATGTTCAAGTATACCACAAATTCATTTGCTCAACCATGTTTGTAGCAGCTTTATTCATAATAGCCAGAATCTGGAAATAACCCAGATTTTCCTCAATTGAAGAATGGATACAGAAATTGTGGTACATTTACACAATGGAATATTACTCAATAAAAAACAAGGAAATCATGATATTTTCAGGCACATGATGGGAACTAGAAAAGATCATCCTAGTGAAGTATCCCAGAAGCAGAAAGACACACATGATACATACTCACTTATAAGTGGATACTAGACCTACAAGATAGGATAAAAATACTAAAATTTGTATACCTAAAGAAGCTAAGCAAGAAGGAGGACCCGGGGTAACATGATCAATCCTCATTCAGAAAGGCAAATGGGATGGACATCCAAAGTAAGAGAAGACAAAGAACAGGACAGGAGCTTCCACAGAGGTCTTCTGAAAGACTCTCCCCAGCAGTATATCAAAGTGGATGCTGAGACTGATAGCCAAATTTTGTGCAGAGAGCAAGGAATTTTATGGGAGAACAAAGAGATGAAAGACCTGGAGGAGACAGGAACTCCATAAGGAGAGCAACAGTACCAAAATATCTGTGCACAGGGGTCTTTTCTGAGACTCTTTCTCCAACCAAAGACCATGCATGGAGATAACCTAGAACCCCCCCATAGATATAGCCCATGGCAACTCAGTATCCTAGTGTGTTCCCTAGAAATGGGAACAGGGACTGACTTTGATATGAACTCAGTGGCCGGCTCTTTGATCACCTCTCCCTGAGTGGGGAGCAGCCTTACCAAGCCACAGAGGAAGACAATGCAGCCCTCCTGATGAGACCTGATAGCTAGGGTAGAAGGGGTGGAAGACCTCCTCCATCAGTGGACTTGGGGAGGGGCATGGGAGGAGAAGCAGGAGTAAGGGTGGGTTTGGGAGGGTCAAGAGAGGGACTACAGCTGGGATACAAAGTAAACAAATTGTAATTAATAAAAAAATGTATTGTGAACCAGAAAAAAATATATGGCTATTCGGATAGAGACTGGATTCTCTTCAAATAATGAATAATCAGTGCAAAGTTCCTGGTATGTATAAGGTATAGTAAGGGACATTTGTAATTATTATAGTACTGGAACAGAAGCTCACAAAACACTAACTAGCTATTTCAAATTGTAACACTGATAATAAAACTAAAGGTATAACCTAGAATTATATGGGTCAATACTTATATACTTTCTAATATTTTATTTTCTCTTCCTTTCAGCCATGTAATATATGTTCACCTGTCATTGTACATACAATGTTCCTGTCAATTTTGCCACTTTTAAATGGAGGCATTCCACATATGAACAATTCTAATCACAGCTATTCCTGTATCTCTCCAGCTCTTCTTCCTTATAGCATATAAGGCTATTTTATGTTACAATTTTATTGTACTTCTTTTGTTTAGATAGTTAACATGCTGTAGTATGAAATTTTCTGTAGAAGAACAAAATAATATGAAAAAAGTTTTCTTCTCTCTGTTTATTAGCATTGCAACAAACAACATATCTACATACATCCTTAAGTGTCCCTTATAAATATTGAATGCATATGTGTATATGTATTTAATAGCCCTTTTCCTTCATTTTCACCTGTACAAAGTGGCCTGACATCCTTTTCATGTAATTTTTATTATGCGCCCAGTTGTATACTTGCTGTAATTCTCATATTCTTAGTGATAGAGGATGCTGATAGAGAGGCTTAAAGGTAGGTGTCTTAATCTGAAGTCTTACTGGGAGTAAGTATAAAATCCATAAATGCTTTGCTGTCTTTTATCTGCACTCTTTTCTCCACATTGAGGGGGCTAGTTCTATGCATTATACATGGTAGAGGTCATCTGAACACTTGCTGGTAGCTAGAAGAAGTAAGAAAATTCTCCTGTCACATCGACTATTTTAGTATTCACATGGTTGACCACATACAGTGCTAGAATGCTTCAGTGAGTACATTGCTTAATTGTCTACTGGATATCTCCTTTCTTCTCTACAGATTTATTTAGGTCCACCTGAGGACAGCCAGGTACCTCCAGTGCCTCCACCACGAGTGACAGCAAGAAGGCACAAACCAATCACAATCTCAAAGCGCTTGCTGAGAGAAAAGACAGTGTTCTATGCTTCTTCCCTGGATGAGAGTGAAGGTCAGTGGTTAGCTTCTGCATTGTGATTGCGTACAAAGAAAATATTGAAGGAGACATACAGAATTATGGCTGTTTCCTTCATACGATAGACCTTTCCTATTTCTTTCACTTATAAGTAGTCAGGAGAAGCAAAGTTTGTAGTTTGTATTCTAAGAGGAAATCAGAATATTGGCAGTTGATAGGGCAGAAGTGAATCTTTAATGGAAACTACATGGTCCCTTACAGGGCTAGCTGTAAATCCAGGTCATTCATAGGTATGTTACTATAGTGCATAGAAATATATGAGAAAGCTTCTTGTTAATGTTCTGGGATTGTTATTCAAATATTGCTATCATGGACTGAATAACTGTTATGTTCCAAGTCATATGCTAGAGACCAAATGAAATTATGCCACATGCTCCTGGCCTCATGGAACTTATAGGATCTGTAAACAAACAAACAAACAAACCAAAAAAACAACGCATCACAAAAGAAAACACCATCATACAATGGAGGGATTATTAGTGAAGAGAGTACAGTTATTCTAAGTGAGCCTTAGTTCCTTGCCACTCCACAAGGAATACTTTTATCAAGGTCCCCCATAATCTGCACATGACTGAACGAAGCATTCCACTGATTGTGAGCTGATGAGCAACATGTAACAGTCAACTCCCCTCTCTTCTATGCAGCACTAAACTGGGCTCTCAGTACAGTAAACTCGATCCTTCTCATTCCATCTCATCTTTCTTTACTAGTTTTCTTTCTTTTCCTGATTTTGACATGTTTGAACACCCCAAAGGCCTAACCCTCTTCTCTGTGTTGTTTTCATACATGATCTCTCTATGTTTCTTATGTGTAAATATCATTTAAATACTACAGGTGACTCCCAGAATTTTTTAATACAGGGTTCTTTCTCCCCTTTATTGTTATCTCAAAGTCTCCATTGAAATGTTCTCAATAGATTGACTCTTTGACACCTATGAATTGAAATCTGAGATGAATAGAACATAATTTGTATTTTATTTTAGTAGTGGTAGCTGGAACCTAGGACTTTGTACAATGACAAGTGATCATTCTATCAGTAACCTACACACCTCATACTCAGCCAGAGACACAGTTCTTGATTCTGTATTGCTTCTGACCCTACTCCTTTTGTGACCTTTATTCTAAACACCACCTGAATACTGGGGTCAAGAACATTGACCTTTTCTTTATGGCTCTTTTCACTTTCCTCTTACATCAGATCCATCAGTGATTCCTTTTGGCCGTGAATGCACATCACATGCTAAATCCTTAGTTTCCCATTGGACCACACACACACTGAGGCTCTACACCTCTTCCCAGCTGTCATTGCTGGCCTGCTTGACTGCCTCTAATCCATTTTTCATAGTAGCCAGTAAATTGTCCATTCTTTCAAAAATGTGAAACACATGACCTCATTCCCTCTGCTCCAAACTTTCAGTGACCTCTCTTTATGTTTCAAATAAAATTTGTTTTTTCAAATAAAATTTGCTGTTTTCAGTGACCCCTGATTATCCCTCTGAACTTTCTTTATGTACTTTCTGTCTCCTTTGCTCTTTCCTTTCATGATGATTGCTATTCCTGATGGGTGTCAAATTTACCTCTTCTGATCATGCAAATTAAACAGTTCTTCCTTCTTATCCCTTTATATTGCATTGCTTTATTCATGTCACCTGCTACTACTTGATGACATATTTAGTAACTATTTTTCCAATAAGAATATTAGATATGTTTTTATTACTAGGGCTAAGGACAATTTCTACTATATATTGTGGGTTTAGTACATGATAATGTAAATAAATGCTTCTATTAGGAATATGAAAAGACAAGGGTTAATTAGCTTAAGGAATCACTTTCATAGAGGAGGAAGAGAAAATGAAAAATGAATGGGAGCACTGAATGTTTATTCTGTTACCCTATAATTAAATATTTTTAACGAAATAAACTTGTTTATTTACAAATTTCCCAAATGAAAACTTTATACCAGAAGAAACTTTTATTTTGTACTTTATCCCCTACACAAGTACAGAGCTTACTACATAGTAAGTATGCAATTAATGAATGTACTAAATGAATGAACTGGGGGTCAGTAGACCTGAGTCTAATTTATTTTGGTCACTAGCCTGTCAAGTATCTTGAATTAGCCACCTTCCCTATCTGGGGCTCAGTTTGCCATGTTTTGTGGTGAGGGTTTTATGCCAGATCTTCAGTGAGATTACAGTCTATACATTGACTTCATAATTTTTGGATTAATAAAGAATGCCGAGGCCACAAAAATCCACCCTTTTTCAATTGTAAATCTCAGTAAAGTGTATTTTGTGCAGCCACTTAAAAAAAAATATTTGCAGTATTCTGAAAGGAAACCTTCTAATTCCTCTTTCTCGTCAGTCTCTGGCAATTACTTTCTATCCCTAAAGACTTAATTTATTCTTATATACTTTCTACTGCTACATGGTATTCCATGGTAATGTCATAGCATATTTTGTTTTTCCATTCCTCAGCGAATGAACACTTATACGGAATCTGTGTTTTAGCTATTATGAGTATTCAGGTTGTTGGGTGATGTCTGACCTCAGTTATCTTAAATAAAGTGCTGAGTCATATTTTACTCTGAAGTTAAACTTTCACAGAATGATCATGCTAATTTCCAAAGCAGGTGTGACATTTCACTTTCTCACCAGCAAGGGATGGCAGTTCAAATTTCTCTATATTCTGTCAGCCCTTGTTATAGTCTGACCTTTTCATTCTGGACATCTTAAATGGATGTGAACCTATAATCTCATTTAGTGCTCACTATTTGAGTATGAGGTAAGTACCTGAACTTTACTGTATAAAGTAGTCCTTTGTAGCTCAAAGAAGATAAGTAGTTTGTCCAGTTATCATCACTGCCAAACTTGAAAACAATAATTTATATTCATCCATTTTATTCCAAATTACACTTGTCTACTAAATGTAACAATGTGCTTCTTAAAATGTGCCTTGGCACCATTCTAAGTAGGAACCAATCCTACTGTCAACTTTTCTTCACAGTAGCATCTCATTATTTGATCTCCAAATTTATATTCTGATCCTTCCCCATCATCATGGATCCTTTGATACCCTATATCAAGTCTCGACCATTCTAAATCTGTTTTATTTGTTTGACAGCAGGGTCTTGCTATGTAGCCTAGGTTATAATTGAACTCACAATCCTGCCCCAGCTTCCTGAATGTTTAGATTACAGGACTGTGCTCGTATACTTTACATCTATTCTTCTTCCTCTTCTTCTTCTTCAAAAAAGTATTTCTTTACTGGTGCTGTTTCAGTTTAGGTCATTATTATCAGCATTCCCATCTCTTGTCTCCAAACCTCTAGTTTGCCTGCTCTACTCTACTTTTCATATTGTACCCAAGTGGATGTTCTGAAAACATATATTTGACAATGATATCTTTCCACCTATCAGTGATAATGCTCATATTCCTAGGTTTGACATCCAGACCTTGATGAAATAGCACCAAACTATCTTAAACCCATAACCAACTGTTCACATCTTTTATCCCAAATGCTCAAGACAACCTGAACTCATTATTTGTTTTTTAAAGATATTTCTTTTGTACAATTATTTTTTATTTTGGGGATTATAAGATATTTACATCATTTCCCCTTTCCTTTCTTCTTAGCCTCTCATATACCCCTTTTTGCTCTCTTTCAAATTCATGGCCTCTTTTTTCATTGACAGTTGTTACATGCATATATGTAAATATATAAATGAATATATAGATATATTTCTAAATATAATCTGCTCAGTCTGTATCATGCAATATTTTCTTAGACGAACCATGAGTGTTTACTCCTCCAAGCTATTGTTTGTCTGAACAATTTTTATTCATGTATACCTTCCACCCATTTCTCAGCCAGAGTTCAACAAGTCTAAATGATCATTATAATAATTTTGTTTAAATGAAAACAGACAGTATTTAAGATCAGTTGTCTAGTCAATGTTTAAATTCTCGCATTATCTCATTATAAAAAACAGGTTCCAGATAAGGTGTTACCACTGATGCATCTGTCTCCTTTTGCTGAACAGAGATATCATCCTTAACCATTGAACTCTAATATAGCTTTATTTACATGTCTATTTTTTATTTATTTTTGTGGTGATGGGAAAGAAACCTACAGCCTTCCATATTCTGATACAAGTGCTGTATCAGTGAGGTGTTACCATTAGCACTATGTTTCCTATTATTAATGGAAATGACATTTCTATATAGTAGATATTATTCATCTGGGAAATTCATTGATTATTTATGGAGACTGCAAATAGCTTAAAGTTAGTTTTCAAAATTTTAACTATGTATGTGTGATGCTTTTTTTTTAAAAAAAAAAGTTTTTCTGGCTGTTATTGTGTTCTCAGAAGCTGTAACTAAATTCAGAATCACTTAAAAGCTTATTCTAATGGTCATAGGAAATTATGGACCACAAAAGGCTAGAGGAAGAATGTAAATTGGCTATTTGAGGATATCTTTACATGGGTGGAGAAAGAGATTAAATTGTTAGGCTTATTAACTTGAAATTTGAGAAACTTTAAAAGTTGCTTTTAAGAGAACTACTTGAGAATTAATGCATTTATTTAGAAAGAGTAAATTATGCAATTGATTGGGCACACTGTTCTTTTTGAATTGCATATTCCCTTGAATAAAGCAGCTTGGCACACTAGAGTTTTACTCAATTGTGTTGGTGAAAGTCATATGAAAATCTTAAATTGAACCTCATTTGAATGAAACCTGTTTCTCTATAAGAATTGGTCAGGCTGGAGACTGTTCTTGTGGGATGTAGTCAGTTTGTTCTCTAATAATAACAATTTTGAAAATGCATAGAGATTTTCAAAATTAAATATGTATGCATGCATCAAAACAAAACCATTTTGAAGGTCATCATTAATCTTTCCTCTTTGTACCAACTTTTTTCAGATGAAACCCAACATCAAACTCCTAATGGTACAATCACTAGCAACCTGGATCCCCCCAAGCTACCACAGCACCTCAAACCACCCATGCAGAAAAGTGGGGAAACTGACTCTGGAAGAAAGTCCCCATGCAGACCTGTTTCTGACTGCCAATCAGAGCCCTGCCCGGAGGTGGATGTGGGGAAATTGGTATTTAGGTTGCAGGATGGAGGGACCAAGGCTACTCCAAAGGCCTCCAATGGACCTGTGCCAGGCTTTGGACCCACAAAGACCTCCTCTTTCCATATAAAGAGACCAGCTCCCAGGCCAGTGGTTCACCACAAGGAAGGTAAATGTTTAGGAATCCTATGGGAGGCAGAACTGAACCAAGCTACTTTTCACCTTCAAAACTTTCTAGGGTTGGAGGTATCTTCCTTCCTTGCTCCTACCCTCCTTTTCTCTCTTTCTTCATACTTCCTCACATTCAGTGCTTAAATTTTAATTAAAAAAATAACTTACAAAGTGATTAGTAGGTTTTGGTATGAGATTTGTACACACATTTCATTTTAGTTGCTTCTCATTCCCCTTTCCCCCGTCTCCTTCCCCTTCCCCTTCCTTACAGTATATTTTTGCCCTCAATATTACCCCTTTCACTTTTCTCTATTGTCTTCCCTACCTGCCCCCTTTGAGGCTTTTTGTTTTTTAGTCACTGGGTCTCTTTCTGGTTTCTTGACCTTTAGTCATATTGGCTGCCACTTATGTATTTTATAGTTAGAAACTAAGATATGCATATGAGAGACAATATACTGCTGCTGTGTTTCTGAGCCTGGGCTAACTGGCTTAAAATAATGTTTTTTCATTCCCATCCATTTTCCTACAAATTTTCATTTCTCATTATGATTAAAATTCCTTTGTGTATAGGTACCATTTTTATTATCCATTTATCTGTTGATGGACATCTGAGCTTAGTTATTATGAATAGAAATACAATGAACATGGATATGTAAATTCATTTGTAGTGGGATATGGAGTCTTTTGAGTTTATGCCCAAGAGTGGTATAGCTGGGTAAAAAGGAAGTTCTATTGACCTATGTAATTCTCCTGTTGAAAAGTATTTGTCCTTCGTTGGAGTATCAGTCTCTACAAGGACCCCAGGGCTCAGAATTTTTTGGCTATACTGGTCTCCTTTTGGAGCTCCTGTCCCCTCCAGGTTTTTCTTTTTCTTTTTTTTTATTTTTTTATTTTATTTTTTTCTTATCAGTTGCATTTTATTAACTCTGTATCCCAGCCATATCCTGCTCCCTCATTCCCTCCCAATCCCACCCTCCCTCCCTCATCTCCACCGTGCCCCTTTCCAAGTCCACTGAAAGGGGGGTCCTCCTCCCCATTCATCCGATCCTGTTTTATCAGGTATCTTCAGGACTGGCTGCAAAGCCCTCCTCTGTGGCCTAATAGGACTGCTCCTCCCTTGGGGGGTGGGGAGGTCAAAGAGCCAGTCATTGAATTCCTGTTAGGAATAGTCCTTGTTCCCCTCACTATGGGAAACAAATTGGTTACTGGGCTACCACAGGTTACATCTGAGCAGAGGTTCTAGGTTATATCCATACATGGTCCTTGGTTGAATGTCAGTCTCAGAAAAGACCCCTGTGCCCAGATATATTTGGTCCTTGTGGAACTCCTATCCTTTCCCCATCAGACTAACTCCCCTTCTTTCATATGATTCCCTGTACTCTGCTGAAGGTTTGGTCATGAGTCTTTGTATCTGCTTTGAAAACACTGCTAGTTAGAGTCTTTCAGATGCGCTCAGTAGACTCCTGTCATACGTTCAATGCACATCCCATCTGTCTTTCTAAACGAGGATTGATCATCTTACCCCATGTCCGCTCTCTTGATTATCTTTTTTAGGTGTATAGATTTCATTATGTTTATCATATCTTATAGGTCTATATAAGTGAGTATATACCAAGTTTTTCTTTCTCCTTCTGGGATATTTCACTCAGAATGATCTTTTCTAGATCCCACCATTTGCCTGCAAATTTCATGATATCCTCCTTTTTGATTGCTGAGTAGTATTCCATTGTGTAAAAATACCACAATTTCTGTACCCATTCCTCTGTTGATGGACATCTGGGTTGTTTCTGGGTTCTGGCTATTACAAATAAAGCAGCTATAAACATGGCTGAGCAAGTATCCCTTTTGTGTACTTGAGCAAAGTTTGGGTATATACCTAGCAGTGTTATAGCTGGGTCTTGAGGAAGCACTATTCCTTATTGTCTGAGAAAGCGCCAGATAGATTTCCAGAGTGGTTGTACCAGTTTACATTCCCACGAACAGTGGAGGAGGGTTCGCTTTTCTCCACAACCTCTCCAACATGTGTTGTCCCTTGAGTTTTTCATCTTGGCCATTCTGATGGGTATAAGGTGAAATCTCAGGGTTGTTTTGATTTGCATTTCCCTGATGGCTAATGAGGGTAAGCATTTCTTTAAGTGTTTCTCTGCCATTGGATATTCCTCTGTTGAGAATTCTCTGTTTAGCTCTGTTCCCCATTTTTTAATTGGATTACTTGGTTTGCTGCTTTTCAGCTTCTTTAGTTCTTTGTATATACTGGATATTAGTCCTCTGTCAGATAAAGGGTTAGTGAAGATTCTTTCCCAATCTGTAGGCAGTCGTTTTGTTTTGATGACAGTGTCCTTTGCTTTACAGAAGCTTTTCATTTTCATGAGGTCCCACTTATTGATTGTTGCTCTTAGAGCCTGTGCTGTTGGTGTTCTGTTCAGGAAGTTGTCTCCTGTGCCAATGAGTTCTAGGCTCTTCCCTACTTTTTCTTCTAACAGATTTAGAGTATGTGGTTTTATGTTGAGGTCCTTGATCCACTTGGACTTTAGTTTTGTGCAGGGTGATAAATATGGATCTATTTTCATTTTTCTGCATGTAGACATCCAGTTGGACCAGCACCATTTGTTGAAGATGATGTCTTTTTTCCATTGAATGATTTTGGCTTCTTTGTCAAAAATCGAGTATTCATAGGTGTGTGGGTTTATTTCTGGGTCTTCTATACAGTTCTCTTGATCCTCCTTTCTGTTTTTATGCCAATACCATGCAGTTTTTATTGCTATTGCTCTGTAGTACAGCTGGAGATCAGGGATGGAGATACCTCCAGATGATCTGTTGTTGTACAGGATTGTTTTGGAGATTCTGGGTTTTTTGTTTCTCCATATGAAGCTGAGAATCTTTTTTCAAGGTCTGTAAAGAATTGAGTTGGTATTTTGATGGGAATTGCATTGAACCTGTAGATTGCTTTTGGCAGGATGGCCATTTTCACAATGTTAATCCTACCAATCCATGAGTATGGGGGATCTTTCCATCTTCTGATATCTTCTTCAATTTCTTTCTTCAGAGACTTGAAGTTTTTCTCAAACAGGTCTTTCACTTGCTTGGTTAGTGTCACCCCAAGGTACTTTATGTTATTAGTGGCTATTGTGAAGAGTGTTGTTTCCCTAATTTCTTTCTTGGCCCTTTTGTCTTTGGTATACAGGAGGGCTTCTGATTTTTTTGAGTTGATTTTGTATCCTGCCACTTTGCTGAAGGTGTTTATCAACTGGAGGAGTTCTCTGGTTGAATTTTTGGGGTCACTCATGTATACTATCATATCATCTGCAAATAGTGACACTTTGACCTCTTCCTTTTCCCGATTTGTATCCCCTTGATCTCCTTTAGTTGTCTTATTGCTCTGGCTAGGACTTCAAGTACTATGTTGAAGAGGTATGGAGAGAGTGGGCAGCCTTGTTTTGTCCCTGATTTCAGTGGGATTGATTTGTTTCTCTCCATTGAGTTTGATGTCGGCTATAGGCTTGCTGTATATTGCCTTTACTATGTTTAGATATGTGCCTTGTATCCCTGATCTCTCCAAGACTTTAAACATGCATGGGTATTGGACTTTGTCAAATGCTTTTTCAGCATCTAAGGAGATGATCATGTGGTTTTTCTCCTTCAGTTTGTTTATGTGGTGGATTACATTGATGGATTTCCATATGTTGAACCACCCTTGCATGCCTGGGATGAAGCCTACTCGGTCATGGTGGATGATATCTTTGATGTGTTTTTCGATTCAGTTTGCAAGTATTTTATTGAGTATTTTTGCGTCAATGTTCATTAGAGAGATAGGTCTGAAGTTTTCTTTTTTTGTTGGGTCTTTGTGTGGTTTAGGTATCAGGGTGACTTTCGCTTCATAGAATGAGTTTGGTAATGTACCTTCTGTTTCTCTTTTGTGGAATAGTTTGAGGAGAATTGGTGTCAGCACTTCTTTGAAGGTCTGGTAGAATTTCGTGCTGAATCCATCTGGCCCAGGGCTTTTTTTGGAGGGGAGACTGTGAATGACTTCTTCAATTTCCTTCCCTCCAGGTTTTTCTATTTTCCCCTTCTTTCATAAGATTTCCTGCACTCTGCCCAAAGTTTGGCTGTGAATGTCAGCATCTGCTTCAATACCTTGATTAGTAGAGTCTTTCAGAGGCCGTCTGTGGTAGGCTCCTGTCCTGTTCCCTGTCTTCTCCTTCCAATGTCTATCATGTTTGTCTTTCTGAATGAGGATTGAGCAACTTTCCTAAAGAGGACTTAAAACCCCCATCAGATGTAGCCTATAGACTCAGTCTCCAAGTAAGGGGAGCAGGAGCTGTCTCTGGCATGAACTCAGTGACAGGCTCTCTGATCACCTTCCCTTGGTGGTGGTGGTGGTGCAGCCTTACCAGGCCACAGAGGAAGACAATGCAGCCAGTCCTGATGAGACCTAATAGGCTAAGGCCAGATGGAAAGGGAGGAGGACCTTCCCTATCAGTGTACTAGGGGAGTGATATTGGTGGAGAAGAGGGAAGGATGGTGGGATTGGGAGGAGAGGAGGGTGGGGGCCACAGCCAGGATACAAAGTGAATAAATGATAATAATAATAAAAATGAAAAATTTTAAAAGTGTTTGTCTTAAGTCACTGTTCTGTCTTAAGTTTGTTCTGTTGCTGTGAAGAGACACCATGACCAAGGCAACCCTTACAAAAGAAAGCATTTAATTGGAGGCTGGCTTACAGTTTCAGAGCTTGGACCATTATCATCATGGTAGGCAGCATGACAGCTCACAGGTGCTGGAGAAATAGCTGAGAGTTATAGATCCATAGGTAGGAAGGAGACTGGGCCTGGCATGCACTATTAAAACCCGAAAGCCTGCCCACAATTACACACTTCCTCTAACAAGGCCATACTTCTTCCAACAATGCCACACCTCATAATCTTTGTAATTTTTTCAAACAGTTCTGCTCCCTGGTGACCAAGCACTCAATTCTGTGAGCCTGTGGGGCCCATTCTT